GGGTGGCCTAATTGCATGTTGGTGTGCAGTTGAATGGCCTATTTGACCCTTATTCCTATATTATTCTAATTTTAGTCTGACTGTTTAAAGATAATATAGTTTAGCTGGCAGCTAAATCAACAATTTAGTTTTTATGTACTAATTCAAATGTCGATAATATTTTAAAAGAAATTTTAAAAAATTATTGGTTTAATCAAATGCAATATAATATTATTTTTTGTGGTATGCTTATTTTTTATTTATAACTTTTTTTTTTTTACCTTTCTTATGTTTTATTTTCCACTCTAAATTGTTAATGTTATTAAATACTCCGTAATAGTTGTAATTCGGAGAAGGGAATTTTTATTTATGAAAAATAATTCTCAAATTCTAATTCACAATAAAAAAACACGAAAATTCAAAGGCATATGAAACTTACACTCTCCTCAAATCTCATCCGCTTCCTCCTAATAGCACTAGGAGCTTTAAAGCGTCGATTACGCATGATGCAATGAATTCTAACGAGTATATTTGAACATTTTTTTTTTTTTGGCTATTAACTCTATTACATTGTAGTATCTGTTCATCTATACTTTTCTCAACCTATTGAAGCACAAAGAGTCAACACCACCTCCACTGAGGCTCGATCTCATGACCTCCCATATGAGAGAGCCACTACATGCCATCTGAGCACAATGTGAACATTTAAATATATCATCTTTAACGATCCTAAACAAATAGAACACTTCGAGTTTTAATAATATGAAGCGTTGGCAGAATATGGAGAAGTCAAAAGAATTTTTAGGGGAAAGAAAATCAAAATTTGATGTCCGGAAATGATTAAATATAATGTTACAACAACAACCCAAAAAAAAAAAAATGATAACAATTGCCAATTTTATGACAAACATTCAATTGGAGTAATAAAATTCTTTCTATTGCCAGAGTTTTCACTTATAAACTAGTATGATACCCGTGCGATGCACGTGGAATGATTTGTAAAGTAAATGATATACTGTGGAATAAAATATTAAAAGAATTACATGAAAGGAGTATAATTAATCACAACGAAATAAATTTTCAAGTATAATTATTAATATATATATATATATATATATATATATATATATATATATATATATATATATAAAGGTGTGTAGTTAGTATGATAATGCACAGATTAAATGTTTGAAATATTAAAATTCTAAACATCACATTTATAATAGAAGATCAAATGAAAAAGAAATGTCTTTAGAAAAAGAAATATACAAAATAAACTCAATGATTTTTCTGCAATTTCTACACATTCAAGAACCTTCTACAATGAGTTTTTTGTCAAATCTTTTATCATATTCAGTTCTTCACAAATCTTTCGTTTACCTATGCACATTGGTCCACTTTCACCAGTTTTGTTAAGGATCATCATGAGGAAGAAGAAAAAAAAAAATTTAAACTCTTTCCAAAATAAAGGAAATAAGAAAATACAAAACCCTGCATAAGCATTCAAAAAAACCCTGCATAATGTAGGCATTATCTATACCACTTCCAACCAACAGAGGTTGTGCAGCTACCCAAAACGCTCATTGAGTTGTCACCATCTTCGACCTCCACCCTGTGCAAGTAATTGAAACATCCAAATCCTTGCTCCCATAACTCAATCTGCCTCTTCTTCGCATGTTGCCTCGCCTCGCCTCCGCCATGTACGGTTTCTCCACCATGGCCACCCGCAGTTTTCCTTGTGTGGTCATTGATCGCCCGCGACTGCAACGCATCAAACACCTACGCGAAATCCAAGAACCCAATCCTACGACCACTATGCCTCTAAGCCTCTGCTATATATATATATATATATATATATATATATATATATATATATATATATATATATATACTACAAAAATAGCCATCATTCAAGATAGAACAAAATGCAAACCTTTTCACCAGAAAGCTTTTCCAATTTATCAATGGATCCATAGCAACAATCTCCTCGCCATCCTCACTAATCCATACTGAACGTGGAGTTCCCCAGAACCTCCTTCGACTAACAGCCCAATCCCTTGCATTTTCCTGTCAAAGAACACATCTCATTAAAAATATCAAGTCATAAATTTATTATCTGAGTCGTCAAACAGATACCTCATCGGCTACTTCTTTTCTTCTTCGCCTGAATGGGATCGGCATCCGAATCTGGGTCCATTTCCTTCCCGCAATCTAAGACCTATGTGAAATCCATGGACCCAATTTTGCAACCACTACGTTTATATATATATATATATATATATATATATATATATATATATATATATATATATATATATATATATATATATATATATATATATATATATATATATATTATAATGCAAAGATGATATCGAGAATTGAACAGGCACCTTGAGCATAACAATAGATCATTACTCTTTATCAATAAATGTTTTCTAGAAATAGGAAAAGACATATTGATAAATTATAAATACGTTGTTTGCCTAGGAAATCTAGTCCAGGAACATACACCATTAATAACATCTTTTATACAGAGTAATTAAATATTTCAAAATTGTAAAATATCTGGGATTATGCACAAATACCGCATTTACCAAACGGTGTCGTATTGCTTGGGCGGGAATTGGAGCAATTTTTTGTGGCCAATACATCTGGCTTTATTATAGATATAAGATAAGATTCTTTCTAAACTTATATATATATTTTTTAAATTATTTATAATGTATTGATTATTTCTATTATTTTTTATAATTGAATATTCATTAAATATAGAGCGCACAATATTTGACTAGTAAAATTAAGTCATTTTCCAAACCATTCACTAATCACTACATGTATGTGTATCTTTAATGTTAAATTTTACTCCGTCATCAATTTTGTAGACCAAGTCATGCCTACATAGACAAATTAAAGTATTTCCATGCGAGAATAATTTAAATAATTAATTATTAATTGATTTTATTAATCAACTAAATATGTTTTACACCAAGTCTTGGATCATTTGAACATTTGAAGCTAGCTAATTGATCATCTTTTTATAGATTTGTAGAGTACATCTATCATTTTATAAATAATTATGAATATATTTTATATTCTGCATCAAATATTTGGCGATTTTAACTTCCCATAGTTATCCTATACTGAGATTAACCAACTTCCAAGAAATTGAATAATGTTTTGTGTAAAAGATTATATATTTGCATGCTTTTGTTTAGTTAAGTAGTGGTATTGATAGGAATTTTTTTTTTTTTTTTCAAAACAAATCAAAGAGTTAGTTATATGTGTGGAGACAAGTTTAGTCAATTTGGATATCAATGAGTCTAACACCTAAATAGATTTAGTGTCATGTTTAGAGGATCCCAATACTTATAGTTTTTGAGGAGTTTTTGCAGGTGTGACTAGGAAAGAGAAGATAGAAGGATTAAAAAAAAAAAAAAAAAAAAAAAACTTTTACATTGAATGTGCAAACAAACGCTGCCATTTCTCCACGCGGGCCCTACATGATTGGTCCAAAAACCTCTGCTCCTAAAAAAACCCAAAAGCTTCTTTTTCCCCTCCATCTGTCACTCCTCCACATCAACCTTCCTTTCTAAAAAATCACACCAAGAACTTCTAATGGGGGTGCCCTTAGTTAGGTTATGTAATTTTTTTCAGAGAATGTAAGATAACTTCCACAAAAGTATTTTAGTTATTTTAAGGGAATGTGACTATGTGAGATATCATTCCCTTTATTAGGTATTCTCACATTTTCTTGACTTATTACTAATTTTGTTATTTTAATCCATTGATTTTCCTGTCTCATCAAAACATACAATGTTTCTCAAGCTCAAGTTCTTAGGTAATTAATTTTAAATCATTTACTTCTATATTTTACTATTCTCTTATTTATTTTAAGTTTATAATTTATTGAAATACATAAAAATAGGTAACAACCATTATAACATAAAATTAATAAATAAATAAAAACAACTATTTAATCAAACATGTTTATATTACAAAACATCAGTTTTAAACCAAACACATAAATTTAACATTCTTAATAATCTAACATTTCCTAAAGTAATCTAACATTTCATGAATCAAATATTTATTGTGATGTTTTGAAAAAAAATATTTATTGTGATGTTACATGTATAGGATGGTTTGTAGAAAGTCATTAGGGGAGGTCTTCCTTGATAGGACTATAGAAGACTTAAAGAATAAAGTCATTGCTAGGAGGATAGAGACTAGAGAGGGTGCAGTGAAAATCGTACAAGTATTTCACTTACTTCTTTGATACTTGCAACTTCTCCCAAAGCGTTGAATTCCAACCTCAAGATCCTTCATACCCTGATTTGACATAATACTTAGGATGATGTAAATTAAGGTGACTCAATGACTCAGTTAATAGAGTTAAATGTCGGTGCGCACAAGAAATCTGTCCACTTTAGATATAATCCACACACTGTCACTACTGATTTCTTTGATACATGCAACTAAAAGGACTACATCATGTCAATTTAGAAATTAATATAAAGATTCTTTTTTTTTTTTTTGTCACAAGAAATTAATATAAAGACTTAACTCGCTGATTCAATATGTAGTATTTGAGAGAGAAGAGAAAAATGTTAATCTAATGAACAAATAATTAAACAATTGAATTCAATGTACACATAGTGAAAACTGAAAAGCTAATAAATTTAATGTAACAAAGCCAATAGTACAAAAAAAAAAAAAAAAGTTTAATTTAAAAAAGAAAAATGGATATGGTAAATTGGATGTGTTGCGGGTAGGGGCAGTATATAATGGAGGTGGTTTTGCTATGTTACATCCGAACCAACACCTAGTATTTATGTATTATGACACTATATTATAAAATATTTCCAACAACAATATTCGTTTTTTTTTTTTTTTTAGAGAGAATATGTTGGTAGGTGTTTTGTTGTGATATTATTATTATCTTCATTAACTTATTCTCTTAAATTATATTAACTATATGGGCCTCCAATAACTAAAGAAGAATTCAAATTTCAAAACATATTTATTTATGGAATCGGTCCTCCAAGAAAATGAAAATGTCAAAACAAATCTGACTTATATATGTATTCTGCAATCGTATCTCTCACTTGATCGACGGGAAACTTGCTCCGTCGGACCGCCGTCTCTTGCCTTTTCCGGCGCTCATGGTTCGCCGCTGCAGTCCACGGTTATAGTTTCAGTACGTTTCTCTTCTTCTTCTCTCGTATTTGTACTAATTTGTATTGCTGTTAAGGGTTAGTCTCTGCTTGTTTGACAAAGCTTGAATTTTTCTTTGAAATTTCGCTGCAATTTACATAGTTTAGGGGGGTAGGTTTAGAGTTAAGATGTTGAACAAAATTATGAAGAGAGGGCACAAGAAGGTGCCCAAACCGGACGCCGAAGACTTTGGGTCGGTCTCCGCGTCCGTTGTGGTGGTGAATCATGCTTCAAGGGGTAGTTCGCTGGGAAATTCAACACCGTCGTTGCATCTTCCATCTGTGGGGGCGCCGGCGCCGGCGCCGGGGACATTCGAGGTCCTGCCGTTGTTCCGGGATGTGCCGGTGTCACAGCGGCAGAACTTGTTTTCCAGGAAGCTTCAGATTTGCTGTTTCCAGTTCGATTTCACGGATGTGGTGAAGATGGTTAGGGAGAAGGAGATGAAGAGGCAGTGCCTTCTAGAGCTTGTAGATTTTATTCAATCTGGCTCTGGGAAGATCACTGAGAGCAATCAGGAGGAAATGGTAAAGATGATATCTGTTAATATATTCAGGTGTTTGCCTCCGGCTTCACACGAGAACAGTGGGTCGGAAAATGTTGACGGGGAGGATGATCCCTATCTTGAGCCCTCATGGCCACACTTACAGATTGTATATGAGCTGCTATTGCGATATGTGCTTTCATCTGATACTGATACGAAAGTTGCAAAGCAGTTCATTGAGCATTCGTTCGTGTTGAAGTTATTGGATTTATTCGACTCCGAAGACCCGAGGGAGAGAGAGTATTTGAAAACAATTCTTCATCGCATATATGGGAAGTTCATGGTGCATCGTCCATTTATTAGGAAGGCAATGAGTAACATCTTTTATCAGTTTATATATGAGACAGAGAAGCATAGTGGTATAGGTGAGCTCTTGGAGGTTCTAGGGAGCATAATAAATGGATTTGCGTTGCCGATGAAAGAGGAGCATAAGCTGTTTCTTGTCCGTGCACTCATACCGCTCCACAAGCCAAAAACAAATGCAGTGTATCATCAGCAGTTGTCGTACTGTATTGTCCAGTTCATGGAGAAGGACTACAAGCTGGCAGATGCTGTTATAAGAGGTTTGTTGAAATACTGGCCTGTCACAAATTGCCGAAAAGAGGTTCTGTTTCTTGGGGAACTTGAAGAAGTTCTGGAGGCTACGCAGGTGTCAGAGTTTCAGCGATGCATGGTTCCCCTTTTTAGACAGATAGCTCGCTGCCTTAACAGTTCACATTCCCAGGTTAAAATATTTTTCTGACCTTAAACTTATAATTGCCTGTCAAAATATTGTTATTTGCAACTTTTTTATTTCATTTTATTCTAAGGTTGCTTGATCTGCAGTGTTGGTTTGAATTTTCTCTGTGGTGAATACTGGCTTAAGTAGATAATTAATTTGTTCAAGTGCTCTGTAGTCTTTGGTGCTTATCAATTATCATCTGGGCCATTTATCAACTTTGTTTGTCCTGTGCTGCTTTGTGTAGAAAAGTTAGTTACTTGTTACGTGATTTGCTACATGTTCATGATCAATGCATTGTGCCTACTTGGAGTGTCTTATAGGACAAAATAAAGCATGCGAGAAGTTGACATTTGGCATGTTTCTGCTATGCCTAAATGTAAGGTTTTCAGTTATTGCCTATTGGCCATCTTAATATACAGACATACAGTAGCATTGTTGATAAGCATATTGTTTATTGATGCAAGAAGTTACAGTCATTTGTAGAAAAAAAAAAAGTTTAGTAGAAACCCAAAAACGTTGTTTATCTTATCTTCTCCACTTTCCACTTTCTTAATTCTTCTCATCATCAACTTCCAATCTGAACATGGTGTTTTTAGTATCATCAACAAACAATATATCTTGAATCTCACTCATTTGAGAACCTTCACTGACCGGGTAGCAACCCTTCCACCCCCTTCAATAGCAGTAATGATGTGAATTTACAATCCATCTAGGAAGCAATCAGTTGTGGGCTTTTAATGGTTCTAGTTTTAGCTAAATTATCAAACATATATATAGAGGCAATTGTACCTTCTTTGGTGACCATTGGGATTGGTGTAGTACTGCATTTTGACACATATAGGGAAGGGTTTGTTTCCATGGTTTCAGTCCTTACATTTTTTAGCAAAATTCAACCCTTTCTCTATTCTGTTTCACTATGTCATTGAGAAACCAATTCTATATGCAAGTAGTGCAGTGGATTTAATATTGAAGCCTAAGTATTATGCCCCGTAGCTTTTAAGAGTGACAATGAGAAAGCATTATTTGAGATGTCAACTTAGGTAAGATTTGGATACATCTTCCAGAATTTTTCAGGCCTCTTTTAGGAGAATAATCCAATGAACAACTCTGTCAAAAAAGACAAAGTCAAGTCATTTAGACCCTGCAAACCACTTTGTATTTATTGGATTTGATCTAGAGTTGTTGGATATTGTGGTCAATTTGACTTATCCTTGTATTTTACTGAATTTGATCCAGATATACAATGGTTTCTTTGAATAGTTGAATAAAATATTTTCATTGTTGCAAGATTAAAAAAATCTATGAACATACTAGTCTGATCAGGTTGTTATTGCAAAAACTATGATGCACGTGCACCCTAGTGTATGGTGCACCATGTGCCAAGGTCTAGCATTTGTGTTCAGCTGAGTTATCATGATTTACATCCTCCAAGATGCTCTTTTGGGCCGGGGCGTGAGGGACACTTGGGGTTAGGAATTCAACCTTTTGGGAACAATGATTTGAAAAATGTTTACTTTTGGGAATAAGGGTCAAATAGGCCATTGAATTGCACGATAATGCAATTAGGCCACTGAACCTAAAAACCTACAATTGGATCCTTAAACTAACCAACCAATTTCATGCAATTCTTCCAATTTGCAGGTTTTAGGTCATCCCAAATTAAATTATTTTTTAAAAAATAATTATTTAATTTTTTTTTTTTTAAAAAGGACTTCCGGCCGGAGACGAAGAAAGTTTCTGTCTCCGGCCGGAAGTTCTGTTTTTTTTTTTTTTTTTAATTGTTATTTTTTAAATTTTAAATTTTTTAAAAATAAAATTTAATTTGGGTTGACCTGTTGGAAACTTGCAAATTGGAGGAATTGCATGAAATTGGTTAGTTTAGGGACCCAATTGCATTATTGTGTGCAGTTCGATGGCTTATTTGACCCTTATTCCTTACTTTTAATTGTAGTGATGCTTTGCATTCAATTTTTAGAAAAATGTCCGTTTTAAATGTACTATATCTTCACTTCAGCTATGTTCACATTGGATGAATTAATGTGGACTGAAAGAACTAACCTTTTGCGTTGCACTTGGTGCCTATAGCACTGTGTGCCAAGGCATACACAAGTGTCTTGATTGTTATCTTACTTTTGTTGTTTTCAGTGATCTCCTAGAGAATTACCTTAGCTTGTAATTTTGGATCAACTATAACTCTACAAGGGACATTCTTGTATTATTCTCGACTCATTGCAATCGTGGAATCTTTTTAAAGATGTTTCTGAAGCGATTTGTATTTCAGGTTGCAGAGCGCGCCCTATTCTTGTGGAATAACGATCATATAGTAAGCCTGATTGCACAGAACCGGAATGTCATATTGCCAATCATCTTTGAGGCCATGGAAAAGAACATACAATCTCATTGGAACCAAGCGATCCAAGGGCTGACTGGTAACGTTCAGAAAATCTTTCTGGAAATGGATTCCGACTTATTCCACGAGTGCCAAAGACAGTATGCAGAAAGTGCAGCTTGCGCGACAGAACAGGAAGAGCAGCGAGAATTAAGATGGCAGAGATTAGTAGCCTGCAGCTAAAATGACACGTCACCAAAAACCCGCTCGGTTTAGGAGTAGATGGTGTGCAGTGTTAAATCGGATGCTCGAATTCATGAGCATATATAGACAACAATGCTATACAATCTTGGAAGCATAAGCCATGAAGAACATGCTTTACACTGTAAATGGTACTCTGTTTTAGTTCTCCCTTTTTTCTTTTTGTTTTCATTGTGCAAAGTGATTGATCCACAGCTTAAATTAAGAATGGTTTGTGAAAGTTTATGTGATATGATAAACTCTTGAATCCATGCCTTTAACATTACAGTTTAATTTGACTTGCATTTTGCTGAATTCTTGGCTGGATTTCAAGTAGAGAATGCAAATTTGAGGAACTTTGAAGTGCAAAAGAAAGAGTTTTTTCCCTTTCCCCTTCCCCTCTTGAATTCTTCTTTTCTCAAATACTGCCTACTGAATCAGTGAGTTAAGCTCGTACGGGCTTTCCTCTTGAATTCTTACTACAATAACATGAAGGTTAACATGGCTAGCAGATAATACAAGAGAATGGAGTTGGGGCAAAGCATGTAGCCCCCGGCGTAATCGCCATCGTAGTCGTCCGGGTCGCCGGAAATTGCCATCAAGTAGTTCCCGTCATCATCGCCGCCGGCGGTGACATTCCCAGCAGCAGTCCACTTGCCGCTGCTCCTCCCCCTGCTTTCAACAAACATCCTCTTAGTCCACTACATTGTACCAAAATTCATGTTTTTTTCTTCCATTCCAAACATGTTAAAGTCACTTTGAACATGTCATTTCAATCTCGATATCCACAAGGACGGACTAAAATAATCAAAAGTTGGGAAGCTCAAAAAGCAGCGAGATAGTGCTTCTCTGGTACTGAAAGGAAAAAGGAAGAAAGAGAAAAAGAAAAAGTGAAAGGAGGAGGGACCTGCCAACAAGAACGCCGGCGTTCATGGTGATTTGGTCAAGGAAATTAGCAGATTTGGGTTCCACACTGTACGCTTTCTCATATTTCACTTCCAATTCCTCACCCGAAGCTACAAAGTAGGCTCCGTTTGCCATTACGTCCCCCTCGCTCCTCCAATTCCAGTTCCGCCACTTTTCTTCTGATGTGTCCACTCTTTTTGTCACCTATCCAACCAAACATACATTTTCTCAATCTTTATAAGAGCATCCTATGTCACATGTTACATCAACATTGTGAAAATTGGTTAATGTTAGGCCCCATGGGTCTAGCTCATTCAGCAATGTTTTGAGAGCTTAAGATTAGTCTGGTAATGCATTAACTGTACAGTTTATCCTGGTTTGGATTCGAACCATGAACTAGCTCTGCTGTAACTGTAACTAATAGTGACAATCATTATTGTGTGGACCATGGTCTACACAAGTTGTGTGGACCATATTCTGTATATTGTAAAATAATGTACATTCAATACAAAAATAATGTACATTTAGTATAAAAATAATGTACATTGTATTCAGGGGATGTACATTATTTTTGTACTGAGTGAACGTTATATTGTATAATGTACATTCAGTACAAAAATAATGTACATTCAGTATATTAAAAATGTACTTTTTGTTATAGTCCATACAATAATGTGCCCTAATAGTGACGCAACTTTAAATAGGGTGTTGGACTTGACCTTACAGAAAATCAAGGTCTCCGCCCAACAATCCCTTAGCAATGTCTTGCTTAGTACAGTCAAAGCAGGCCGAACCATTAGGCCCACATTTCCGTGAACTTATTTTTTCAGGACCCTAACCCGTCCCACCATGAAGCAAGTGCAAGCCAGTCCGTGAGCTTCGGTCCACTTTTGCAGTACTAGACTCTTGTTGGACATGATCCGAGTATCCGACCCTTCACGAGCCTCCACCCAACTATTAAAAAAAAAAAAAAGGGTTAATGTGTGTACCTCTTTGGCGTTGCGGTCAAAGGGTGCAATGTACCGATTTCCTTGACTATTGATGGTAGGATTGCCGCTCCCTCCAATGGCGTACATCTCCCACCTCGTGAAATCATTGTTCACTACATGGATATACCCTCGCCTACACCTCGGCATTCTCTGAATAAGCTTCTTCCCGAAGTGGTTAAACGCAATGGTGACTTGCATGCCGGAGTCCGGCAAGTAATCGTCGCTGTGACCCAACAACATCACCTCGTTATGGTGGGAGAAGTGGTTGTTGGATATGGTGATTCCGGTGGAACCCATCACGGCGTCGATCAGCCCGTCCTTGCAGTGCGAGAGAGAGCAGTGATCGATCCATATGTCCCTCGACCCGAAGATGGATATCCCGTCGCCGTCCGACAAGGTTCGCCACCCGAAGTGAGTGGGACTGGACCGGATATTGGTCTCGCCGGACTGGTAACAATGGTGGATGTGAATGTTGTGGATGATGACGTTGGAAATGTACTGCAACGTTATGCAGCCGCCGCCGGTGATGTGGACGTTGGCGCCGCGGCCGTCGAGGGTCTTGTAGGAGTTGAATATGAGCTCCTCCGAGAGCTGGATGACCATGCTGGCGGCGAACACGATCCACAGCGGCTCCGTTTGGATCACGCCGTAGCGGAGAGTCCCCGGCGGCGGGTTCACCGGGTCCGGGTCCGACGAGTCGGTGACCACGTAGTAACGCCCGCCCTTCCCGCCGACGGCGTATTGCCCGAACCCAATGCCGCAGTCCGCCAGCCGCTGCCGGTTCAACTGCCAATTGGAGTCGCAACGCCAGCAATCGTCGATCGGATTCCCGGTTTCGCATGTCGACAATAACTTTCTTCTTGATAACATTCTTGAAAGCGATGCATTTACTATGCTGCACAAGATTTTCAAGTTTTGGGGTAAAAAACAAAAATATTGTTACGATCAATCAGTTACCAAGTCAAAAACTATAGCTAATAACGAATGCGGCAATTTTATTTTTTTATAGACTATTATTACTTTTTTCGAGAGGGTGGGTGTTGGTCTTTGCCCACAAGGGCTTAGGTAACTGGTTCAATGGATAATATTTGGGATAAAAGATCAATATTCAAACTTCGACAGCGACAGACTGAGGATTATGTCCAAAGTGAGCAAATCCCTTGTGCATACTGGCATTTGACCCTGTCTACTGGGTCATTGAATCACATTCATTTAGGGTCGTTTGGAAAGCAGGAAAATGTTTTCTGGAAAATGAGTCGTTTTTCAGAAAACATTTTCTTTTCCTGTGTTTGGTTGCATTTTGAAAAACTTTGTGAGTTTAGTTTATTTTCTGAAAAAATGACTAGAATTGTATGTTTAAACATTTTGGTAGAAAACAACTTCTCCCAAATTTTGGCGGAAGTCATTTTTCACCAAAATAGCTTCTTTTTCCCCAGTCAACGGAAAATGTTTTCCATTGACTGGATTTTCCTGTTGCATCCAAACACTGAAAACTCAAAAAATATTTTCCAGAAGTCATTTTCTGGATTTCCAAACGGACCCTTATATCTTCCCCGATGCTCCGTCGGGCCGAAATGCCTTGGAGTTGGGGATTCAACCTTTTGAGAAAAGATTTATTATTATCAATGTAAATCTTTTGAAAAAACCAATAAAACGGACTCATTAGAGGGTGTTGGTATAATTATGTTTCATTCACTAGCCCGCTCTTTTGGGGCAAAGTTAAAAATTGGATAAGATGTTATGTGACAAGGTTAAGGATGTTATGTTAGGTATGTTTTTATGGTGTTTTTGTACGGGAAAGAAGCATGCTAAAATCACAATAATTTCATTGGACCCTGAGGGAAGTGAGAATGACATGTAAGATGGCATGGTAGACAGAGTAAAGTTAATGGCAGTTAAATGAGTTGAGGCAGGTAGACAGTAATGAGGACAAACAACCAATAAAGATTTACATCTACTCACTGAGACACAGGAAATAGTGTCTCCTCTAATGTCTAATCCCATTAAATAAAGAAAAAGAAAAAGGAATATTTGGTTCTTATAGATTACGGAAGTAATATCCCATTAAACATTTTGCCTTTTTTATTTTTGGAAAATCCAATAAACATTTTGCTAATGAAGAATGGTTGGTACTGGGGAATGGGAATACTACATTGTACAAGACATTCAAGAACTGAAGCACACAAACTATACATACAGATATAAAAGGAGTTAAGTTATAATGGAAAATGGGAAATGTATTTTAATACCTGTGAACTTGAAGGGCAACAGCTTCAGGATTGGGATGCTGACCAGGAAGGGTAAGGTTGTAAGCCGCCATTAATGGAGAGAATGAGGTGATAAGGAAGAAGAAGAAGAAGAAGAAGAGAATGTAGGTTGTGTCAAGCATCTCTTCTACACTATATTATGCCCAGACAAAGAATGTGGTTCAGTTTAGTAGAAGAGGTATGGTAGCTGCATTACAGACAGTGGGGTTTGAATGGAGAATGAAGGAGAAAGATGGATAAATCCAAAGTCCACTAAGCTCCCTGCAGGACTCATACAGTTCTTCAGGGGGAGGGGGAGAGGGAGAGGGGAGTGTTATTCTTCATTACTGTCATGATTTATAATCATTGTAGATGGAATCTGTAAGGGATTCACTATTTGGAGAGGGTGAGTGAAAGTTATTAAAGAAAAAGTAACAGGATGAGGGGTGACACAAGCAAGGATTTTGTGGAATCCCCTTTCTTTTTTCCTTTTTCTTGGTTTGGAGGTGGGTGGTTGGGGGTGTGGGGTGTTTTTTTTTTTTTTTTTTAATTTCTTTCTGTATACTCTCAAATCTCTGTATACTCTCAAATTCTATTCGTGTCAAATAAAGATAAGATATTTTTATCATATGAATTTCAAAAAAAATGTTCACGTCAAAAATTTGAGAGTAGAAATAAAAGTCGGGAGCACAAAAAGAGATTTTTTTTAGTTCCTCCTTTCTTGTCAGGAGTGCCCTAAAATTAGGTTCATAAATATTGGGGAAAGATGGGATCCTTAAAATCTGTTTGTCAGCAGGAAATTGTGGTCAAAGCTCAAGACTTGGAGTCTGAAACCAGGCCAGTGGTAGGATATGCAGTAAAAAGGACATGCTATCATTTAAAATAATATAATATAGTGTGGAGCAGAAACAACTCAAACAAGGAATGTAAATAGAATGGCATGCAGTAGGAAGGAATTTGATGCAAAATGATCGAAAAATGCAGGCTAATAAATTAAGATAGGAGTGTATAACAATTCCCACAATGTATGAGTCTTTAGATTTAAACTCTAAACCTAAGGGTTCTCATCCTTACCTTCTTGTGAGTTGTAAAAGGAGATAAATTACAAGA